GTCAACGTAGGGATTTCATCTGTTTGACTCAGGTTGGTTACAAAAAAGTTAGCAGTTAACACAGCATGATTTAGACCAATTTATCTGCAATTAGAATGCCACAATTTTTCTTTCCAACAATATATTCAATGCCAGTAAAAAGTCTATATGATTCTTGGGCTGGACAGCAGAGAGGAACAGTTTCCACATGGATTCAGGTCCTCAGGGTTGGGTTGATTTACAGCCGTATAAATGCAGCTAACCAACGTGCATGTCTGCAATGCCTGCAATCAGTACAGGCTCTGGGAAGTACATAATCCCAAGAGCTTTACCTGCTTAGGATACAATAACAGAAATGGAACAATAGGCAAAAATGTGACATGGGCCCTGGTCGCCACTTAGCATTTCTTCATAGTACTTTTTATTTCCGTAAGGTCTCCTCTCTCACCTAGATCAATTTTTCAGTCTGCTCTTTTTCTCTTGTTCAGTTTTACTAAAGGCTTATCAATTTTGTTCATCTTTTCAAAAAACAAACTTGTTCTACCGTTGGTTATTGTTTTCATTTAGTTTATCTCTGATGTAATCTTAAATAATTCCTTTATTCTAATTTTTTAAATTTAATTTTCTCATTTTTTCAGTGTTCCAGGATGGAAGATTAGTTTATTCGTTTGTGATATTTCTTCTCAATGTAGGCATGCCCAGAGATAAATTTCTTCCACATATTGCTTTAGTTGTATTTCATATGTTTGTTAGTTTGTTTTATTTTTCTTTCATATCAAATTTCTGATTTTTCTTTTGATTTCTTCTTTGACCCATAGATTATTTAGGAATGTGTTGTTTAATTTCCACATTTGTGAGTTTCCCAATATTTTTTCTGTTATTGATTTATAATTTTATTCCAAATCAGTAGATTTTAGTCAAAATCAATTGACTTCTTTCTAAACCAATTTTTCCATGATCAGAGAAAATAGTGTTATTTTTTTTTATTAATTGAAGTGTGCTTTATAACATAGCATATTGTCTACCCTGTAGAATATTTCCTGTACCTTTCAGAAGAATGTATATTCTGTTATTGCTGTTTGAAATGTTCTATGGTCATCTTTTGGTCTAGTTGATTTATAGTATTAACCAAGCTTTCTATTTCCTTGTTATCTTCTGCCTAGTTGCTCTATTCATTATTGAAATTGGGGTATTAAAGTCAACAACTATTATTTTTGAGTTGTCTATTTCTCCCTTCATTGCTGTCAGTTTTAGCTTCATGTATTTATGTTCTGGTTTTAGATACAAATATGTTTATAATTTTTGTATTTTTGATACAGTATTATTTCTCTCTTTTTAAGAAATAACATTTTATCATAAAATGTCACTATCTTTAGTAATATATTTTATTTTAAAGTCTACTTTGTCTAATATTAGTATAGCTAATTTTTTTTATATTTGTTGTTTCCATGGTCTATCTTTTAAAATCTTTTACTTTCAAAATATACGTATCTTTGAATTTAAATTTATTTCCAATAAACGAAATATAGTTGGATTTTTTAATCCAGTCTGACAATCTCTACATTTGATTGTATTTATTGATCCATATTTAATGTTTTATTACATAGTTTGATTTACACATGCCATTTTATTTTCGTTTGTTTTGTGTCTCATATCTTTTTGTTCTATCTCACCTTACCACATTATTTTCCATCATTCAATATTTTCTAATATGGCATTTAATCTTACTATTGAGTATTTTTACTACACTTTAAGTTATTTTTAGTGGTTGCTCTGGGACTGTCCATATATATCTTAACTTATCAGAATCAGCTTCAGATTTCTACTAGCTTAATTTTAGTACAACATAAAATTCTATGGTAATTCTATGTAGCTCTATTCATTTTTCTCTTTTGTGGTATTATTGTAATACATATTATATCTATTAATGTTAAAAAACTCAAGAATGAATTGTTATAATTATTACTTTAGCATCTGTAGTGATTTCCTTAGCCAAATACACCTTTGCTCTCACCTAGCTCCTTTGCATTATTGTTGGCAAATATATTACATTTCAGTATCTTATGAGTCCAACAACACTATATATAGATATTTTATACAATACTTTAAAAATCATTTAACAAAAGAAAGAAGAAAAAATACATTTATATTATTTTTTTTTATAATTACAAATGTACATTTATTGGTGCTCTTTGTCATGTGGATTCAGATTTTCATATGGGATCATTCTTTCAGCCTGAAGTACTTTAATATTTCTTGTGAGGTAGTTCTGCCACAAACAAATTTTCTCAGTGTGTTATCTGAAAATGTTTACTTTACCTTCATTTTTGAAAGATAGCTTTACTGGATATAGGATTCTTGGTTTAGATTTTTTGTCTTTGAGCACTTTGAATATGTTGCCCCATTACCTTCTGTCCACAAGTGTTTTTGCTTAGAAGTTAGCTGTTAATGTATTAGCGTTCCCTAAAATGAGTTTTTTTTTTTAAAGTGCTGAGTCATTTTCTCCTGCTGCTTTTAAAACTTTTAACATTTTTACTATGTTGTGTCTGTTTGTGGATCTCTTTGGACTTTGTGGATCTATTTGGAGTTTGCTGTGCTTATTGGATGTGTAGTTTAGTGTTTGTCAATACATTTCGGAAGTGTTCAGCCTTTATTTGCTCAAATATAATTTTTTTCTCCTCCTTTATGCCTCTACTCTCCTTCTGTTACTGTGATTACATAAATTTTGATGCACTTAGTGCTGTCCCATATTCCTCTGATGTTCCATTCATTTTTATTCATTCTTTTTTTCTCTCTGTTCTTTGGATTGTATTATCTCTGTCTTCAAGTTTACTCATTCTTCTCTTAGGTCAAATCTAAGTGAATATTTCATTTTATTTTTTGTACTTTTCAATCCAGACTTTCCGGTTGGCTTTTTTTCTTATAATTTTTAATGATATTCTATATTCAATATGACATTGTCATCATTCCTTCCTTTACTTTACTCACAGCTTTCTTTATTTTTTTAAATACATTTATAATAGGTACTTAGAAGTCTTTTTGTCTTAAATCCAACATTAAATTGTCCACATGGGCAGTTTCCATTATCTACTTTTATTCCAGCATAAAGACATATTCTCCTGTTTCATTGAATGTTTTATAGGGTTTTTTTGTTGTTGGAAACTGGATATTTTAGATAATATATTATAGCAGCTCTGGGAGCTATCTTTTGACAGTCTACTTCCCCATTCAAGAAAAATCACAGAACCAGGACTCTGGAAATGGAGATAGAGACAATGGTATCCTTCTCTTTGAGTGGCATACCCAATTAGGAGCTCATCACTCAGTAGAGTGAAGGCGATAAACTAAGGTCTTCCTGACCTGTATCTCCTGGAGTAGAGGCACAACCTTAGGAGCCAGGAAAGAGAGGATCAGGTCCCAGTATTTTCTGTGCCTATGCCTAAGTTAGAGTCTTCATTTCATTATGGGGATTGGGAATAAGAAGGGAACCCTCACCTCTTGACCACACTCACCCAGAACTTAGTTTCAATAACAGGTAGTTGGGAGCAACATAATAACTATTCCCAGAAAGAAAGTCCTCTACATCTCCACTGGAAATTTCTATGTTCTTGGCCAAATAACAGTCTTGAATTGAGTGTATGACTTATTCAATCAGGAGGGAAGAGAACGGGAGTGGTCTTTGTCAAAATATCATACTCTTACTTTTTTACCACATTTTCATAGATTTTCTTGAATAAATATTTCTTTATTTGCTGTATGCCCTTAGGACAATTTTCAGAGCCTTTAAGTGGTTGTTTTATTGGTATTGTTAAATAATTTTCACCATTTTTACTGAGGAGCAGGTCCACGTTTCTCTTCACACTGAAGTAAATCCATTTATAGTTTCAGTTTCTAGCATCGTAACTCATAAATAGAAGATCTTTGGTTCCATGCGATGGACTGATAAATTTATTCACAAATTACATTTACAATGTTATTTCTTTTTGTCATTTACTGAATGGTTGATTCAAAAAAATAGAGTATAAAAACTATGGTATAATTATTTGAATAAACATCACCTTTACAGCATGAACTTTGTAACACTGGTTTCACTAAACTGGAGGTGTTTCTGCTTCTTGTCTTTTAACCACGTGATGAATGATTTTCTTTAGTTTTTAAAATATATTTATAATGACTACTTTGAAGTTTTTTCTCTTAAATAAGTTAATATGGCACTTTCACATGTGCTAAGACAGAGTGATAGACTGGGTGCTGAGGGAGCATGCAGTGGTGGCATTAGCAGAAGATACCTGCTTTCAGTTGCTGTTAGGAAAATAGAAGTGGAGCTTTCTCAGGGAGGAGATGATAATTCAGTGACAGCACGTGTTACTTTTGTAGTGTAAATGCCGATTTCATGAGAATCCATAGACTATACTTTACATATCACTTATGTAACACAGATAATTTATCTGAGAATCCATAGATTATACTTTACATATCACTTATGTGACACAGATAATTTATTTGACCCTCAATGTATCTTAAATATGACTTTCCTTCTAGCAGATATTTTATCGGTACCGATTTGCTAGCCCACAGTTCACACCTGCTTTGGCTTCACTAAAATTACCCATTCCACCAAATTGGGATTGATTACATGACTATTACTATTAGATTTTCAAGTCCAGTTCTTAAAACTAGTTTTTTCAAATAGAAATATACTCACACTTTTTATTTCCTTCTGAAATAGAAGACATGAAATAAATTTTAGATTCTGTTGAAGACTCAGTAATTTCTTTTAATGTAGTTTACTAAATGTTGTGATTTTTCACTTGTCATTTAATGTAGAGAAGGGCTAGTTATAAAATAAGAAGAATAGTCTTTTATCTTTGCCATGCTGATAACTGCTGTAGTCACAGAAATAAATGACTTAAAAGATCCCTGGTATACCACATGTATGAGTAAATCAGTGTGAGTCTTTCTCCTCTCTACTAAATATATTGTACTCTGTTTCTGTGATACTCCACTTTTTCTCCTTTAAGGATTGAATATGATGCATATCGCACCGATTTAGAGGAACTGAATCGTGGACCACTGGGCCCACACAGTTTGCCAAAGATTGAGGAATCAAAGCTTCTCTTCCAGACATCTAAGGAAAAATACGAGCAACTGCGCGATGATGTTGTTATCAAACTCAAGTTTCTAGAAGAAAACAAGGTAAATTTATTTTTTAACTTCCAAGATCTTTCTGGAAAATTTAAAATGAGGTTGCCATGACAAAGGAGACTAAATAGAAAGATCTGATGGTTCTGTTATTCTCCTTTATGAGATTCACAGTAAGGAATCTCAGTCACAATTAATGATGGGTCTTTAAAAGTACACAAACTATACTTTCCTTTCTGTCCAAAAAGAAATCACCAGCTCCACTCTCCACATTTTTATTTTTGACAATTAGCAAAAAAAATAATAATAATCTTATATTTAAATGTGAACTTGGTAGCAATTACTTCAAAATTTTTAATAATGCCAAACTGTACTCTAAGTAATATTTTAAAATCTTAAAGCTTGTTATAGTTCATGTAATGGATCAATGCAGATTTGAGAAAAAGTAAAGCATTCTATCCAGTTACTGCTAAATGAGGAATGGCCAAGTGGTCTAACTTGCAAGGACGCAGTCACCTATCCTCTAAAGCACACATTTAGAAATCAACTGTCAACATGGTTTTGATGTTCCATAAACATTTCTTAAGAATATGAAGTGATGGGCTCTGATACAACTTTTGTAGGCTTTACCTAGAGATGGCTTAATGTCCAGCTCCTAGGTTACTATATAGGCAGAGGGTATTTCTGTCAATTCATGCATTTTCTGTTTTATATGAAGCCTTCAGTCATAAGAATGAAAGAGCTAAAAGCAAGTGCTATAAAAGTTAGGAGAGCATAGTCCCAAGGGGGTACTATCTTAGTTTCAGGTGTATAACATGATAATTACACATTTATATAACTTACAAAGTGCTCAGCCTGATTAATCTAGTACCCACCTGGCACCATACATAGTTATTACATTATTGTTGACTATATTTCTTATGTTTTACTTTACATCCCCATAACTATTCGTAACTACCAATTTGTACTTCTTAAACCCTTTTAAAGTCATCACATGCCTTCAGCCACATTTTCTGCCAGTAAATATTCTCAAAATTTTTGCTTATTATACTCAAAGGTAGCAGTGTTTACAACACATTTCATCACGTGAAATTCCCAAGAAATTATCTGCCAATATCCTCAGTTTTCTCTTCCATTTCATTAAAGCCTGCTCACTGTCATGATACCTGAACTTTCCCCATCAGAATACTACATTTCCTTGGGACCTCATAGTACCTCTATGTGACAGAAAATATTTTATTCTGGAAAGAATCTCCAAGCTATTGGTATGCACCATAGTTTAGAAGAAAAAAGAAAGTATGAGCACAAAAACTAGTGAAAAATCTTTGACAGCAGGATCAAATGATTAAGACACAGAACTGGGGTAATTACAATGGCAATTAAAAGGACAGATGTAGATGGTGATTTATTTCCAATATGCCTTACTGGGAACACAATATTACCACTGACGGGGACTGGGAAATCAAAATAGGACTCTGGTTTAGCTTTTGTAAGAGTGGCACTTGGGGTGCATGGAGAAGGGACAAAAAATTGTTCTACTTGACATTTATTGAGTTTGAAATAATGAGAAGATATTCAAGTGGAAATGACTAGTAATAAGTTAAAAATATGGGTTTAAAGTTTGAGTGAGTGGTCAGGGCTTTAACTACTTGTTATTATTGCATAGTTTATCTTTGTTTTTTGACATCGTTCAGCAAATTTTACCCTTCATATTTACTACCTTTAAAGATGAGGGTACAGAAAAGAAGCATGTCTTTAAGCCTAAAGCCTGACTGTCATACTGGTTGCTTTCTTCAGTTTGTATTGCATTAACTTAAAACCAAGTTTTTCTTGTTTTCTTAAATTTGAGCTGAATAAAAATTAAACTGAGTTAATGTTGTCAGAGAATCACATATGTGAATTATTTAATTACTTATTTTTAAGCTACATATACAAGGGAATTGTAACAAAAAACAATATACACTTTCTACTTAATCATAGTATAATTAATATTTTTAAAACCTAAAATCTTATAACTGTAAATGATTGTGCTTTACCACACAACATGCTTAAGGCTATCACAGTAAATGAAGCTGTTCTTCTATTACCCTGTTAAATTATATCTCTTAACATGAAAGAAGTTTTAAACAATTGAAACTGTGTGTCATATTAGCTTTAAGTAAATTAAATTTCCGAGAAATTCACATTGCTACTTGTTTGATTCTCTAAAATCTATATACAGAATAATTCTGTATCTAAAATAATTCAGTCCATGGATTTTACATGTAGCCTGATCTTAATAATGTCCTAATTTTTATAGCACAGATGGTATAGAAATTATTTATTCATATAATTTTATGTCTTCTGCATTATCTTGTATACAGTTGGTTTGATAGGAGAATTTGGTGATCTTTTTAAACTAATGCATTGATTAATGTTTGGAAATTGTACTACATTTAGCTTTATAAACTGACTCAAATTTATTTTTTCAGTGTAAATAAGGTGGGGAATTAAAATGTTATCATAGACTCAGTAATCCTGCAAGCAGTTTACAACTGATGTATGTGAAATACTCTATAACAGAACTTAGCTTTTGGAGAGGTAAACTACAAGTACATAATCTTAAATTTCAGTGTCCATTGTAATGTTAATGTTTTGCTTTTCTCTCTCTATCCTTATACATAGATTAAAGTATTGCGCACTCAGCTAGTCCTTTTTCATAGTGCCATTTCTGCTTATTCTACTGGCAATCAAACTCAGCTTGAAGAGATACTGGCGCAGTTCCACATCAAAGTGAGACCTGGCGAGAAAGCCACCCCTTGGTTTGATGACTACTAGTCGAAACAAGAGAAAAATAAAAACACTGTTATATTACCAAACAAATTTAAGAGTTATTGAAGCAGATTTGGGGGAATGAGTGACAGCGTTGCGACTTAGTGACTTAGCACAAGTTTATTATCTTATAGTTCTGTGGGACAAGAGTATATCATGGCTTAGCTATGTTTTCTACTCAGAATCTCACACTAAACATGTCAGCTGACTGATTCTTATCTGGGCTTCCAAGTCCTCTTCCAAACTTATTCAGAATTTAGTTAGCAGAATTTAGTTTCTTTTGGTTATAAGACTGAGGTACCCCATACCTAGCCAGGGGCTTCTCTCAGCTGTCTTCTCTTATGAGTCTTTCCATCTTCAAACCAGCAAAGATGTATTGAGTCCTTCTCACACTCCAATTCTACCTGACTTCCCTTATCTTTTAAAGGGCTCATGTGAATAGATCAGTTCTACAAGGGATCATCTCTGTATTTTAAATTCAAATGATTTGGGACTTTAATTACATCTAAAATCTTTTCACAGCAATACCATCATTAGTGTTTGGTTGAATAACTAGGAGACAGGAATCTTGGGTGGGCCACCTTTAAACATCTGCTTCTCAACATGGGCTGACTTCAATTTTCATAGCAGTTATGTTTAATAGTCTTTTCTATGCTTACATTCACAAGCATTTCAAACAATAGAAACTATTCATACTTGTATAAATACTGGACTATTTTACCACAACTAGTGACTATATGACTCAGACCCTAATTTAACTAGATTTGAAAAGAATGTATTCTCTCAAAGCTGTGTTCAACGGTGTACAGACTGCTGTGACTGACAAATCTAATATTCTTTTCATGAAAGCCACGAATAGGATTCCATATGCTGAGGTGTGTCCTGTATTATTTCTGCTTTATATCAACTTCGTCATTTTGCAGTTTTTATGAATTATTTAGTTCACATTTAAATTGGCATGACATCAGACCAATGATGTCAAACATCTCATTTTTAATAACTGAAGTATTAAATTTGATGGAAATTACTGGTATTTAGGTAAACGTAATTGTCCTGGGTCACAGAATCTGCTTACCTCCAAAGCTAAAACTCATACCTGGGACAGCCTACATGTGAATATTGGTGGATGGTGAAGGGATGGTGCAAAGGCTGGACACTCTTCATGACAGAATCAGAGTCCAGAGGTCCCTGTGGATTTGGCTGAGACTTTGGCTATAACTGCATCAGAGCAGTGACATATTTATTACCAACCACATGTCCTTCATCTCCCCAGAAGTGTCCATCCCAAAAGTACACCCAGATTTTCTTGCATACAAACCTCCATCTCAGGGTCTGCATTCTAAGAAAGCTGGCCTGGAACAGTTGTATTGGTTATGAGTGCCAACTGTTATCTCCAATTATCAGATACCATCACAGGGTTTATTTTTCTTTTCTCCTCCATATTTGTGATTCCTTTCTCTGACAGTGAGAAACCTGGCTCCCATTACTCACTATATATTTATTTATTTGCTCAGTCCTAAAATATATATCATGTAGTTTCAGATTTGCCAAGCATGACTCCATGAAAAACCCACACGATAATATCCAATAATTTATTTGAAGTTCTTAATTCTTTACTCTGGGGGCATATAGTCCATATACTATGCTCCAATGATTTAGGTTATTCATCACTACCACCACCCAACCTTCTGTAATGGTTATGCAATTGTTTACTATTATTTTAAATATGATCCAGTTTATCCTATCTGGTTGTATTCTATTTTAGAGTATCTCCCATCCTCTGTGCTTTTACTTATGTATTTAAATATGTGAAGGATGTAAAAAATTAATGTGGTACAATAAGTGAAAATTCTGTAAAAAATACTGAGGCCCTCCCTTCTTTCTATACTTTTCATTCCTACAAAAACCATGCAGGCAATCAATCACACAAGATTCTAATTTACCATTTCTACATTTTTGTACAAGTGAGTAGATACTCATATATTTGCCTATTTCCTCTTTTTTCTTATATAAAGTATAGATAATATATTCTTTTTTAACTGAACACTTCTCACTTAACAATATATCCTGGAAATCACTCCATCTTAGTTCGTAAAGAGCTCTCTTCTTCTTTGACAGCTACAGAGTACTCCACTTAGCTGATGTACCACAGTTTATACCATCACTCTCCTATGTATAACTGAGGTTATTTCTAATATCTTGCCATTGGAAACAAGGTTGCAATGAATAATTTTTCATATATGTATTTTCTTATTGTTTTAAGTATGCAATCCCCACTGGTTTTCACAGCCAAATGTTATAGAGACTTCTCTTTTTTAGCACTGGTGACTCAGGTTGGGACCCCGGTGCAGAGCTGGGATCCCTTGCTCCTCAGGGGCCAAGACTTCCACGGCTGAGATAGCCCTCCTCCCTCCTGATTCTTAATCACCACACCATGGGTGTAGGACCAGCCTGTTCCACAACTCCATCCCCCACAACCGGTCTCAACTTGGCTTCAGTATATCCTTAGTTATAGGACTTCTCTTCACATAGTCTTCAGGTGATTCTCAATCATGGTTGTTCTAGTCGCAATTTTGATATGGTCATGGGAGGAGGTGAGCACAGTGTTCACCTAATTAGCCACCTTGAACAGGAATCATAAAACTTGTTTTGAGAGAAAAGGGATCAACATGGATGAGAGCGTTTGGAAAGCTAGTAGGAGGGGATTGTAAAACTAAGCCTACAAAGGCAGGTGGGTTTTACACAGACATAGGAGAGGATAAAGGCAAAATGATGGAAAGGTGAACAATGGTGTAGAGATGAGGACGAGCATGGCCTGGATGGGAAGCAGCAAAGAGAGCTATGTGGACAGGAAGGAGAAACTTTGAAGACATGATAGGGGCTGCCATAGGGGAGCACAGTGGGTTGGAACCCAGAAGACAGGAGGCTTCAGGAACTTTTCTGTTTCTGCCCTTACTAGGTGGTCTAGGTGGTGGCCATGATTACATCATTTAATCACAGTCCTGGCTTAGTCACATTCACATGAGGATACTGATAAGAGCCAACTTATTTCATGTTACAAAAACTAGTAAAGATGATGCCTGAAAAAAAAATGTGTCTTAAACAATAAAATCAAATACTAGACCCCCCTTTTTCCATTGTATACTCCACCAGCATGATGAGGACCCCACCAGGGGCCACAGCAGGGTTTGCTTTCTTGTCTGCTGAAGGCAGAAGTCTACTGCAGTGTGAGGGGGTGGGAGCTGATTAAGGGGTGCGAAGGCAATTTTTCTCCCCATGGAGAGTTTGAGCAGGGGACACAAGCCACACAGAGGTTGTTCATGGTGCTGTGCTGTAATGTGCCAAACAACAATGTCTCTGTGAGAAGTTTCTGGCTTCTGATTCAGATGAAACGGAAGACAGGACTGTACATGAGGGCTAGTGCAGTGGGATGGGAAGAGACCTGCATCTTGGTTGGAATCTATCTGGGATCAGATTTAGGGATTCACCCAAAATTACCATGTGAAGTCAGACTAGATAATTCCTCGCTCTGGACTCTTGTCCCTCATGTGCTAAACTCAAGTTAAATCAGCTTCTGCCCCATA